TATGTGTGTCAGATTATGTCTTTGCAGCCACGTAGGACCCTGGAGTTTGGGTATTGGGCCGCCCACTCGCAACACTGTTAACCATGTAGCTACTGGTCAGCTCTGTTAAGGTTCTCACAGAGAGTCTATGGTATGTTTTCACTACAAAGTAACACCGCAACTAGAAGGGAGCAACGACTCGATTGCAACTTGATCATTTTACAAGAAGTAAAACAAGAGTTGTGACCTTGACGAGTGTTGAGACCACTCTCTTTTTCCCAGGTCAATTTCACATAGCACACAGAAAGCTGTAGTAGTAACATGGGGCTCCTGTAACAACAGACAAAGTCTACAGGACCTAAAAGAAACATCCTTGAACTAACACGCCCTGGTTTTGTCAGGTTATCATTGTTTATCCTTGGGTTGAAGAAATAAACTGTGAAAAGAACAAAAATGATCAACTCGGAAAGCTACAGGTTAGAAACCCCTTCTCGAAGCACAATACCTTTTCGGTAACAATAAACTGCCCTCAAAAGTAGACCTTCGATGCCCAAGTTGAAACAGGCACTTTACACTAAGAATGACCTGGAGAGCTGCCACCGTTGCAAAACCTCCACTGCAGTAGAAAGAAAAGAAGTCAATTCTAAGATGACCACTGAAGCTGTGTTTTTGTTATTGGTGTAAGTTTACGGTCATTTTATCCTCAGAAGCTCTTTAGTTGGCAGCTGCCTGGTTTGGTTTGGTGAAAACATGTTCTTGGTGGTTAAAATTATTAATACTAACACTGAGTGTGAGTAAAAGATGTTGCTACTAGACTCCTCTTCCAGTGTAAAGACTGAGCTAAAGGTACCACTAAGATCATGTACATATCCATGTGTTAGGTCAGTAGGACAGTGACTTTTTTTTTAATCCTCATTTTTAAACAGGAAGATTGGTACAATTTTTTCTAAATAGACCTTCGTGGGAGCCTCAGCACACGGTGATCTTTAGAAGATTTTTCTAAATAGACCTTTGTGGGAGCCTCAGCACACGGTGATCTTTGCATCAGGCAAAATGCCACATTAACATTATCTGAAGGCTTGTATTGTCGGTGTTCTTATGACTGAATTTAGCTAAAAATACAGCATAAAGGCTTTTTTAACATGATGCAATGTTCCATTTTGTTTTATGAAACTGACACAACCTATTTTTTTTTCCACTTCACGGTTAACCAACATAAACATTTTACAAGCCTTGTTGCCATGGAATCGTACAAAGGCTCATAGCCACACTATCAACCATAGTGTCTCTTTACTGATGGTCTGACTAAGTGGCTGCATGAATTTATCACAAGCTGCTTGGGCAGAAGTGCCCCGCTGACCACTCCTAGCAGGTTTAGAGGAATAATAAAGCTCATTATGAATTCCCATAATAAATATTACATGATTTATTTCACAGTTAAAATGTGCATTCACAACGGGAGAGAAAGTAATGACATGAACCTGACAGGTGAGAAATAACATAGAACTGCCGGTAGAGCAGAAACAGAGGAGAAAAAGGGCAGAAATAAAAAAGAAAGGTTCTCCACTTCTTGTGAGTGAGCAGGGTTGCCCCAGTTCCTGCTCTGCCCTCTGACCGACTCTCTGGTTACACTGTTAAGCAGCACGTGCTCCACAGCTCCCTGCCTAAATGAGCTCAATGCGTCTCCATCAGCGAACAGACTGAAAATTAATCTCTTTGTTGTCTAACAACTCGGGCAGAGATGGGACAAAGAAAAAGAGGGAAACTAATGTGGAGGAACGCCAAAAATAGAAAGGGTCATTCCAGCTGAGTGAAGAATGTGTTTTCAAGAATGTCATATAATGGGCTGATGTGAAGGGAAGGTGAGCCGACTGAAATAAATCATTACAAGTGTCGGGTTTCACTTTCCCGAGACATCAAACACCATCACTGAATATGCAGCGGTGAGTTTTTCTCTTAGACTATGGATTCTGACCATGACTAAGTGAATCACTAGATGATTGAACGAATGAATGAAACTAAACACTGATAGGCATCAAATGAAATGCTAGTCTCTCAGGGAAACAAAATTGATGTAAAAAACAATAGAAATGATTTCATTTTTGTTGTATTATAAAAATTCACGCTGGAAGGATGATCTCTATTCTCACTTTTTGACAAAGAGCGTGCCATTGCTGGCAGACAATCAAAGCCCAGCACTTTGAAAAATCTCTGCAGGCCATTTAATCACCTCTGCTGACACATTTATTATCCTGATGATCTCATGGGATATCCCTTTAGAGTGGAGTAAAAAAAGAAGTTGGTAGAGAGAGTTTTAACAAGAGTTTTAAGTTTATTTACAAGTCTTGGACTTGTTTTTTTCTTGGTATCAGGAGAGATTTTTTTGTCAGATTAAACTCATTTCAACGGCTTTTCCAGCATCAACTTGTTTTCCACACAATGCACTGCCAGGAATTCTCCAAACCAGTTAGGTTGGGTGTTCTTCCTGCTCGGAATAGAATATAGGTCAAAGCCAGCTCAGGAGAGTTGACATGGACTTACCAACTAACTACAAACCACAGCTGCCAGGTTACATTATAGCTGCTGCTCAACCCTGCAGGGAATCACCATTTGACAGGAGGTTTGGTGTATAACTGTGCATGAGTAAGGTACTTGACCTGGTTAATGATGGGAATCATGGGTATTCTAATGGCTCTGTAGGCAGGGAGCGCGGTTCAAGGCCAGCTTTAATTACTTTTTTCATTTCAGTTTTATCTTTGACACTGTTTTGTTTTAATAAACAAATGGTGGTTGGTTTTAGAGGACTACATGTGATTGTCGTGATTTCGTCCCATTTTGATCTGGACTTCAGAGCTACATCTGTGCGGTAGCTCAGTAATAAAAACTGCCACCCAATTAACAGCTAGCAGCTCCTACATGGACTACAGAGTAGTAAACAACAAAGCATGTGATAGTAGAGCTTTCAGCCTTGGGTGATACTGCAAACTGCAGGATTTTCCACCCCTAGTTTCCACAAAATGAATTCCCCCAGGCACACATAAAATGTGGAATATGTTTGACTGCAAAGTTTGCAAATATTACCACATAAGTCATAAGAGACAGCCGCCCAGTTTGTGAAGACCTGATATTGGATAACATATATTCCTCTGTGTAATGCTGGGAGTCAACATGCAAATTAAACCAACAAACTTTTCTTTGTTAACTTCTAGTAATTGAGGTTTTATGGGAGAATTGCAACATAATTTATTAAAAAATGTATATGTACATTATTATATACTTTTAGAATAATGATCACGTGTCACAAGTAACTCCAGCGGCATTACAATGACACAAGCGGGGATTTGCAGGCAGACGTTAATATTTGATGAGATAAATTCACAGGTGTGCATAAAGTCGGCATCAGCCAATCAGAGCACAGATCCGAGGCTGCCCGTTGCAGGGAGACTATAAAGCTTCTTGTGCCACATTTAGCTCCTTCACCTGTGGTTGTGTGGCGGAGAGAAGTTGAGAAGAAACGTGCGCTCGGTGTTGTAAGACGTCTCGGAACGATCACGCTGTTGCATTCATCAGTCTGCCTCCATTAACCTCGTGTGCTCACACACACACATGGCCCACATCACACCACATCACAGACATTGTAGGAGAAGCGAGGCTAGGCCGAAAGCAGCGACAATGGGCCCCGGTGATGCTCCTTTGTCAACACTTTTCATAAAGAGCGGCAGACAAAGAGCTGATAAACTGATTTCGCTTGGATCTATTACTTAACACTACCGCCTGATCGATCGCTTCGATCGGAACTGAAGGCCGGTTATTGTTGTTAGGGGGTCTTTACCTCACAGTCGTACAGGTCCGTTAGCTGGTCGATAATCCACTCCTCCAGATTCAGTCTCTTCCTCAGCTCCTTGCGGTCGTATTTAACGGTAACACGTCCCTGCTTCCGAACCGGCGTCTCCGGCTCCTCTGCCGGTGTCTGGAAATAAACCCGGGGCTGGGGGCTCGTCTCCGGGCTCGTTACAGCTGCCATGGTCGCTCGGGTTTTTTTGCTTTTTTGCGGAGGGGAGCCGGGGAAAGGAAGGAAGGAGGAGTAGGAAGAAGGAAAGAAGCAAAAGCCGGAGGTGTGAAGGAGAAAAGGAGGCAAAGCAGTGAAAAACGCCGGCACTGATGAATGAGGAGTTTAAAAAATCCAGATAAGAACACAGTGCTGTTGGATCACTGGCTTTGTTCGTCCAAAAAACCCCTTTTGTATGTTATTTCTCGGAGACATAGGCAGAGTCTTCCAAAGAGGAACGGAAAGTGTAGCCGGCTTATTGTGCTATTTACAGCATGTGGACTCCGCTGTGTATAAAAGGCGAAACAGCAGCAGCAGCAGCGGTGGAGGAGTCATCACTGGCTTTAAGTCTCCAATACAAAGGGAAATCACACGTCTCTCCCTCTCCCTCTCTCTCTCTCTCTCTCTCTCTCTCCCTCCCTCAGTGCGCGATTCGACAGGACTCGACAGCACCCGATGTTGTACGACTAGAAAAGAAAAAAAAAACTAAAGGAAGTCACTCAGGGTTTCCCCCCTCTTCTGGTGTTCCTCAATTTTCCACACACGCCACTTCCCCCACTCTCTGAACTTTGAGAGCCGACCCCCTCCCCCATTCACATTTTCAAAATGTGCAGGAATAAAAGACGGTGTTACTTATAAAATTGTCCCTTTATCGTAGTATTGCAGTATTAAAATGTAGTATTACAGTAATAAGAGTAGTATTACAGTAGTAGAAGTATCAAATGTCTTGAGGGATCCTTGCATGATCCTGGACTAAGGGGAAAACCAGAGTATCTGGAGAAAACCCATTTCCACCAGGTGAACTCAAGGCCATCAGTTACAGCTGGGGCTTAAACTGCTGATCTTCTAGCTGTAAGGCAAAAACACTAACTGCTCTTTTACCATTAGGCCCCAGTGGGGTGTATTCTTGGATTGAAATGTTTCCAGTGCGAGACATATGCCCTGTAGGAAGTTGTAATTTGTCTCAAAGAATGCCAGCTGCTGTTAAAACTCAAAAGAACAAGCAAGAGACAGGGGTGAGGGGCAGGATAAACAAACTGACAGGGGGAGTCTTCCTACGGGACGTTGTAAACCCAGACTATTTTAGGTGAAAATGAAGGTTTTGGTTGTTGTTTTCTTCTTCTTCTTTTTTCAATCTAATGGTGTAGTTTGGACCTGTGTGCATATAGAAAGGACACCACTCTCTCGTCATAGTTATGCTAGGGGACACCATGCTACATGCTTTGTAGGTGCATCCCTTTTATTGCACATCAGTTGCACTAGCAAAAACTAGCACGACTGAACTAATACCGAACGTTGTTTACTCTTTTTGACATTGTGGAATCGTTTTGATCATTATTGGTTGATCCCAAATAATGATGACTGTGATTTTTATTTATTTGAAGTTCCAGAATGATGGCCCTTAGTGTGGCACCATTCAATCTTAGGTCTAACAATACTGCATTTATCGTCAAGTTTTCAATAAGCTACCATGGAACCATGATATGATAATAAGTGAGCTGGCCTGTCGAGTTTTTAGCACCTGCAAAAATGTTGTTCCCCCACACACACATAAAACAAACAGGTTTTGCAGTTTGCCTCAGGCTTTACAACTGCTTTAAACAGTATTTGTATTCAAATTTGACTCAACATAACAGTTAAAACATCCCCTTCTCCCACATGTGTGCTGTTTGCAGTAACAATAACACACCCACTTGTCAATTATATTTACTTTATTTGAAAACGTTTTTGTTTTTCATTGCAAGATTGTACACCTATACACTAAGATCGTAGCAGAAACGTCAAGATTTTCATTTCATGAGTTTTATCTCTGTTTGATGAGGGGAAAAACATGTTGTGTCACGTAGAGATAACAATGACATTTCTTTAAAATAACCGGTGTATAATGTTAATAACAGTAGTTTAGGTTTTCATGGTGATAGGTGGAGGTGGAGACAGATGATGTTTTTGCATTCGTCTTGAGTGTGTGTGTGTGTGTCTGTGTATGAGTCACTCTATGAAAAACCAAAGTGAGAGAGCATACAAGACTGGAGAACTTGAATTATTCAGCAGCATGTCTGAAAAGTACAGTTGAGTAAACACAGACAGGCACACCTTCATTTTCACATACACGCTGACACGAAAACCGTCACGTTTTGTCGACACAGAAGGAGTCCATAAATGCACACACACTCCATCGGTGCAGCTGCTGACTGAACTGGATTTGTTTGACCCATGGGTGCTTGAACATCCACGTTGTACACAGCCCTCTGCAGAGGAAGGTCAGAGTAATGTTGGCATGTGCTGTCTCCGCAGAGTGTAATGTGCAATGGGTTTATAGTGTGTGTATGTGTGAGAAAAAGAAAAAAGAAAATGACATGTCAAAGGCTACAATAATCTCTCAGGGAATCTCAAACTTTCCATCTATCAGAGCTGAGACCTGGTGGAATTTACAGTATACTGGACCAAAGGCCTCTTGTTGGTATTTGTACTTGTAGCTTATAGAGCTAACATCTTAATATGAGAATAATTACCTAAATATACATAAAGATGCATCCTAGCTTCTGTATTCACTTTACCATGTGTGGAATAGTAGATAAAGAGAGTTCTTCTTCTTCAGCCATGGTGAGTCTGAGTTGTTGCTACGCATAATCATCAATAAAATTATCAAGTAATACACAAAATGTTGAAAAGGCTCTTTTGTATTTTCTTATCCTTGTGTAGCCCCATGTGTGGGGTGGGTAGGAGTGGGGCTCTAACCAGTTTGGTAAATGTTATCCTTATTTATAGTTTAAAAGTGACCCAGATAAATCTGAAACCCAGGGGCATTTTGATCCACGCAATGTATTCTTTTAAACTTGAAAGTACATTTTGCTGACAAAGCTGAAGGAATGCACTTGTTATGCATTTTTACGTGGTAGTATATGCGTGTTTACACCTGTCTCCTTCCATCACTGAAAATAGTACACAAGCACAGTAATGAGAATTCGGGAAAGAAGTAGATCCTTTTTTTCTCTCTGTCTCGACTTCTCTTAACCCATTAAAATAGCATGTGTTTTGAACTCCTGTGCTTTTATTTTATTCTATTTTATAGCACGTTCAGTTTTCATATGTTGTCCTAGAGGGACCTTGATGGATTGATCAGAGGAATATAAAGCAGTGTTTTCAACAAAGGACCATGTGTTTTCCTTTCCACGCGGGGGAGCTGTCTTAACTGTTTGCCCTCTGCCGTCAGCTTGAAGCAATGACACAGAGAAATGCTGTAGCGCAGATTCCCATGACCTGAATGTGACACATTTCCTTCAGTGTAAAATAAATGCCTTTACCCTTTAATTTTATGTACTGAAAAAAAAAAGTCATATAAACACCAACGTCACAAGGTGTTGTACAAAGCATGAAGCAGAGAGCATTTTTTACTGACTTACAAATATAACAAAAAACTAATCAACATAATATCATGTTAGATATAAAATCCTAATAAAAACATTAAACAGTAAAGAAAGTCCCAGTGTAATAATGTGGCATGAACTCAGTGTCCCACAGCTAAATAAATCAGTACTTGTAAAATCTCCTTCTAGAATCTAAAGAAAATACATTCTGAACTGAACATACTTACTTTATTCAACATTTAACTAATTCTTCAAACGTACCATGTTCAAAATCATTAATCCCCCATGAAGACCGATCTTTTCATTAAGTCATATCAGAAATAGATTAAATAGCTCCCAGTAAATAATATGGGAAACCAAGACTGTGTTCAATTGTTTTATGTTTTCATTTGACAGTGTGGGACATGTCATTAGGCTGTAAAATGGCACCCCTTTTGTACTAGATGAATTATATTTCACCCCCGGCACCAACCTCGCTGACTGCCCTGATGACAACAACTACAACCACAATACATGGTGAGTCTGTGATTGAAACGTGTGTTGGTCACAGCCATGAGATAACAGCTGGCTTTCCTCTCAGCCACTGGATATAAATGACAAACTGTAAAGTGTCAGTACAACTGGTACTACCGTACAGACTGCAGTAATGCACTGACCAAACAACCACAAGGACTGTAGCACAGTTGGGTCAACAGTGATTGACGCAGACGCTGCATTTAATCCAAGAACTGTCTGTACTGCCTATGAAACAGAACTAAAAGTTCCAATTTCCCAAACCACAGGCCATAGGCAAATACTGACAAATGTCCAAGTGGTGTCAAAGTTCTTGTTACATCTTTATAAATAGCTTATTAAAATAAGATTAAGGACTAAAATGAAATAAATAAATAAATAAACATGAACCTTTCAACCGCAGCAGAGACAGTGCCTTTTGTTTCTGTACTGTCTTGCATCATGACAATGACCCAGAGTACACTTCACAGCAGGTGATGAACTGACTCCAGAACACCAAGGCCTGTTATGACTGGTTTGCACAAAGCCCCGGCTTAAGCTGGAGAAATGATTGCTGTTAACTGTAATTCATAGCACACCATTGATAGGTGCTACTACGTATTTTCACTTTTAAAGTTTTTTTGTGGTGACACCTGAAGAAAAGAACAGGCAAATATATTTTTTTATATGTGTGACTGGTGAGTTTTATTGTCACTGAAGTTTTTCTACTCAGGAAAGCAATGTTATAGTTATAGTTTTCCCAAAAGGAGGTCAAAGTTCAGACGTCACTCTCAAGTTTCTCTGGGAACCAGCACCTGTGAGAAGATTTACAGTAGGGGACGAAGACAGACACCAGGGCTGGAATAGCTACCTAGGTACTCTTCAATACCTTTTCCCTAGTGTGCTTTAACGTTGTTGGAGGGGGGAGGGGGTGGAACAGACAAGCAGTTTGAGGCTTCCTGTGAATCCCAGGCTAGCAATCCACCATGGTCTAATAAGCCACACCAAATGCAGTCAAAAACAACAACCATGATTTAAGATGTGGAGGCTGTTGTGACATGTGCACCAATTGGTTTAAAACAATGCATCCATATTCCAAATAGTAAAGGATTATAATTAAAAAAACTAAGTGTGTTAGTCAACAGAGGCAGGGCACACCCCCGCCCGTCATGCAACAGTGAAGAAGTCCTGCAATTCCACATTCCTCACTATATTACACAATCGGGCCAAATCTGGATAAAATGTAGCATAGTGGCACTGTTTTACCACTAGATGGCAGTGCTAGCTTTTATTCAACGCAGCCAAAAACCTGACCTGTAAAATGTGTACCGGTAGTTGGATTCAGACACTGGAGGCAGAAGAAAAGAACGGCAATTTGCAGTTGAACTAATTTGGACGTGTAACGCAGTAATGAACGGATCAAAGTCATTGGATCAAAAGTATTGTTTGTATTTGTTTTAATAACCCGGGTATTAATCCTGCTTCAAACTACAATCAGCAGTTTTATTGCCCACAGAAGCACGTGAGAGCCTTTTTTTATTTTTTTTTACAAAGACACCCACTGATCCTGAAAAACAATGTCAAGACAAGCCCAGCCTCCAGTGACCTGTCAGAGATT